TGAATTGTGTTTCAGATATGCAGTTTCAGGTGTAATCATCAGAGCTGGTTAGTCAGGCATTCCAGATAGTGGTTCTTTTCAGAACCTTTTTTAAAGGGTTGGTTAACTACCTCAGTAGCAGAGGATTGAACTATACCCTATCTGTACTGTACATAGAAAATCTTTGTAGATAAAAGCAAGGCTTGTTAAATATGATATGAGGGTAAGATTTTAATATACCAAATGTAACATTCTTAGTTGCCTTTAGTTTCAGAGGCTTGTAAGACTTCCTCATGACCATCATAACAGGCCTTGCTTTTGTCGTATTTTGTGGCTGAAAAAGCAGCCTTGCTTCTTCAGATATTGTAGTTATTTGGATGTATAATAGTTTAGCAAGATGTTACTTTTGTAAGACATCAGATGTTCAAAAAAAAAAAAAAAAAGTGCATCCGAACTTGTACTAAATACTGCAGTGTCCCTTTATAAAATGTCAGACTAAAATTGACAATTGTACAGCGAAGCCTGACATTTGGTTATTTTGAAGTTTTTTCATAAATCATAGAAATTAGTATATGGCTGTAGTTTAGCTTTTTAGGTAAAAGGTATGTTTCATTAGTGCATTTCTTACTGCTGGTCACTGCAAAAATGTGAATCAGCTTTCCATTTTTTATGCAGGTCATGATAACTTGTAGAGTAGAGTACAATCATTTGTGCTATGTTTTTAATTTTCTAAAGCACCTTGATGACAGTGAGTGTTCAGTGGTGAAGCATCCTCTATTGAATCACCCTCAAATTATTTTGCCAAGTCCTAAGTTGATAGCTTAAAAGTCAAAAGTGAAATTATAGTTTAATTTGGACTTGGTGTAAAGAAATCCCTTCTCCCCTTCCTCAAAGGGATACTGCAGTTATATCACATACCCAATAGGCACCACAATGAAGATCAGAGCTTATTATACTTAATTAAGGTTTTATACAAAACCAGTTCCCCAGTAAATGCAAATTTAACAAGAAAATTAGACATGTCATATGTTCAAAATGCTCATGGCAAACAATCATTTTGCATTCCTGCAAATAAAATTGTTTTATACTGTAAGCTGGAGGCGAGTGTAACTTATTTTTGTAATAAAGTTTTTATTTTTTTTATGTGTCATTAATATAAATGTGTGTTAGTGTAGAAATCTGGTTTAAAAACTTAGAATTGCACACATTTCAGTATGTTTACTTGTACTTACATAATTTTAGAATAGTGGTTGCCAATAGGCTGTATGTGTCATATTAATTGGTTTTTTTTATGTTATCTTAATAAATCATTTTAGTATGTTGTATGTCAGTTACTGGGATAGCTGGGACATAGAGTGTAATTTAAAATTTGTCAATAAGTATTCATTGGAATATATGTAAATGTGCCTTGCCGGTTATTGAAACTTACCTACAAATGAGTATGGGGTGGCAAAAATTAGTTCCTGGTGCTTAATGAAACTTTCTGCCACTGATTTTTTATATTACCCTGTGCTTTTTAAAATTACATATCTCTCAAATCTTAGTGTAAGTTTGAGGGCTACACAAATCATTTGCATTTCATTCTAACTAGTATAATAGGTTTATGAAAAGAGGGTAAACTAAATGTAGCCTTCAGTACAATTGACTCTCAGTGTAATCCTTGGAGCTGGCATTTCCTAGTGCCAAGGAGTAAAATGATCCCATCAAAGAGGTCATTGCCATGCCTATTGGCACTTTACTGTCATACCGTTTTTAAGGGACACTGTCAAGGTGTTTAAATTAACTCTCAGAATTATTTGTTGGGATTTTTGGACAGGTTTGTTTGACTTAAGTAGAACTGCATTGTCAAAGTTGAAAGATGAACACTTTTGTGAGTTCACAAATGTGTTCTTAAACATTAAAATATTGTGGAGCTGTGGATTTCCAAGACTATTTGGCATTTTTAGTTTGGGGACTTGGGAGGGAAAACATGATATAAAGAAATTGTGAAGAATTGTTGGTTACACTTAAAAGAAGGTTAATGTAAACAGGGGTGATGGAGTATATACACACTCAAGTGAAATTACTTGACAGTGTTCATTTGAATAACTTTGAATTCAAGCCATTATAATTGCTTTTAAAATTAAATCTCATTTGCACTGTTCTGATAATGGGTGCAGTTTTTGAGCAATATAATCAGAGCTAAATATGCATGTAGTGATTAGTGATGTGAACAATTATGTTCTGAGAAGAAATACTAACTGGTATTTTCAGACTTTAAATTTCTGTAGTAAAATCCATATCAGATTCTAATCCGAGATCAAGGAAAAACAGGCAATGCATATAAACATTTGAATGTTGTGTGGCCTATAAAGCAATAATGCAATTTATATGGAATGTCATGGCATATGAGATGGAAATGCAAAAATTACTAACTTAGTAAAAATGTCAACATGTTAAGGGGGAATGTTAACTAATGTAGGTTTTTGCTATTTGTAATTTGTTTATGGGTTCTTGGCTATGACAGCTTCAATGAATGGACAGATGACAAGTTAAAAATTTTTTGTATGTATTGTATGTCAAAGGGTCTTTGACCTAGAGGAATCCCTTTCTTGGGGTGAAAAGTGTATCCATAAAGCATTCTGATTGGTTTAAAGAAAAAAACAAAACAAAACACCTTGAGTTACCTAACTGAAACAGACGCAAGATTTTGTTTCTGCAGACTACTTGGCAGTCAAAAGATTCAAAAAATTAATTTTATTAATTTTCAGAAAGTTGATTTGTGAGGAAATTGTGTTATACATACTTTACCATATGCTTTTTATGGTATATCTTCAGTTACTACAATTAAATAAGATGTTAAAATTCAAAGTGCAATTGAACACAAAAAGTTGTTGCATACTCATGATGGCAGTTGCTGTAGCATCACGATAAATTTTTCTACCAGTTACATAAGCAGGACGGAATAAAATACTAGCATTTTCCTCATAATCAAAAAATAGAAAGGATTGATGGGTGACCACCTGGGTTATTCAATTGTATGTATGTTTGGAAAGACTTAATATTAGGATGAACCTTATCAGCAAAATTAAACATGTAGAGCTACTTTTTTTGACTGCTAAGACAAAAGTCACTATTGATCAGAAACATGGAAGATCAGGCCATTTCAGAGTTAACAAATAGAAGGACTACATGCGTTAAGGAGAGAGAACTAACCCAAGTTCAACATTTCCTTTAATTCCCCAAACTTTGTGAATAGTACCCACCATGATCATCTTTTCCCCAATGATGTATATCCAAAAAATTTTCTCTGATCATAGGAATTCAGTGGGTGTAGAATTAAGTGGTAAAACAAAAGATAATACGTAAAAGAAAGAGACTGGGGACGATGTTTTAAGGTATATAAACTCAGTAATACCACTCAATAGGGTGTGCCACTATCAGATATCATAAGAAGCTAATTATGAGCCAATGTTTGCAGACATTTTTTTTAACTGGGCAAATTAGTAGATGGAGTTTTTCGTTTGTCAGCTTTTGAAGTACTTATGATAGTACTTTACATAAATTCCACTAATACCACAGTCTGCCTTTAGTAATAACCCAAAATACTTTTCAGGACCAGAAATATTCAGTTGGGAAATTTTTTTTTTTTTTTTGAGAACTGCAAATCAGTATTATAGTTAACACTCTGGGTCAAATATTAACAGTAGTCTGGTTTAGAAGTCTAACATTGAGAAACAAAAGCTTGTACCTGATTAGTATTTTAATTTAAAAAAATGTTCTTTTAGCTTATTTTAAAATTGTCTTACATTTATTTATCCAAAAAAATTATATATATTTATTTCATTCCTTTCATCTCACTGAAGACTGTCTGCAGGCTCTTTGATTTGGATTAGATGTATGAAGTACTGTCTTTTGCCAAAAACCTCAAATTTCCTGTTCTTTTCAACGTAGTGGGTTTGTGCTTGTTTGGAGATCAGTTCAAAAACTATCTGTACTATCTGTACTGCCTCTGATGTTAAGATTTTATGTATAGCATAAGGAAGCTAGCTCTGACTATATTTTCCTAAGAATAAAGACCTATTTTTGTAGCATGTCTTAGGATCTCCAGGAGTCCAAGAATTATTGTGGGTGTCCTCCATTTCATCATTTTTTCATTTAACAGCTTTTGAATCTTAAGAGGTCTTTGACCTTTCGGTAACTCGTACATTCAAAGCAAGTAGACTGATAAAAACAAAGTCCCCAAGGGCCCCATTTGCAAGCAGACACACATGATCGGGAGATATTTAACAGTGACTGTATGGGGCTGAACTTCATTTAAGTGATGATGAAAGTACTCTGGTCAAGTACGTGCCAGCGGATTCAATGAAGAAGTTATGGTAATTCATTTCAATTATACTTTTCTGGAAGCATACTCCACCATGCAATGTTCTTCCCTTCTACCAAATACATTTTCTCTGAAGATTTGGAAATTAGAAGTTGAGGTTGGTTGCAAGGAATTGAGGAGAGAGTAACGTTCCACATTTAGATGAATGCAAATGAGTTTAGGTAGGTGAACTCAGCTTAAAGTGTGCTTTCATTAGTTAAGCTAAATTGATAAATCACTTTAAAAATAATGGGGAACTTATAAATCTTAGAATTTCTAGGGGGTAAGGGTTGAGACAGAGTAGTTTAAGCTCCATGATTAGTACATCCTTTTAGTCCACTTTGCAAGATTTTTCTGTTTTTATTGATGAGCTCAGACAACTTTATTTCTGAATAGTCAAGATTTTTCTATTTAAATACCATACTGATAGCTGAAGCAAACATTTCTGAACAGTAAAGGGCATTTTATACTTGAGAGTATGGCATACCACTAGGGCATTTTGCAAACCCCACTGTCCGTTGCCCTATTTCTCCTCTGAGTAGATGCTAAACTGGTACTCTTGACTTTTTTGTTGAAATCAGTGCTACAGAATAAAAATTTTTGAGTAAAGGGGAGGTCACCTTTCAGATATCTGTGTCATTAAGGAGTTACCGCTTTCTAAAATATAACAGTAAAATTTAGTAGTAAACCGCTATAAGAATTTTCTATTGGGCTCCATGAATGCGCTTGATTTTCGTCTTTAAAGTGGCTTAAAACATGTGAGAGATGAAGGCTGATGCTTTATACTTGACTGTTTTGGGACTAGATTTTTCAGTTCCTTACTTGATTGGGAGACAATTTTAAGATACTTGGTTATTGGTATCTTAAGTCATTTAGGAGTTATTTTTCCCCCATAGCAAAAGGGCAGTAAGCACTGGACTGCTAACCATAAGATCAGCAGTTCAAACCCACCAGCCACTCCTCAGACAGGGTCGCTATGAGTCGGAATCGACTCGATGGCACTTAACAGCAAGCCATGAACCACCACATTGCAGGTTTTTTATTATTATTTTAAAATACTTAGTGAAGACTTCTATCAGTTCTAAAAATCAGGCCTGTTAAGTGTAGAGACATGAAATTGGAATTGTTATTCCACAATTTATGTATGGCTTGGTTAACGCTGTTAACTTTAAAGAAGAAATAAAGTAGAATATTTTGCCATTAAATAATAGTAAAATTTGTGTAACATTGCTTCTGACAAAATGTAAGTAACCTTAGAATTAGAAAATACTGATACTGTGTAATTTGAATTCAATATTGTTAAAGCTAGGTATATATTTTATGTTGCTAGTTCTTTTTTAAAGAATATAAATATTTAAATGGCAGTATTTTGCTTTAATAAGATTTGTGAATTGGGTTTCTAAAATTTGTTTCTTAATACGTCTTGAAACTTCAGAGAAGTATGCTGTGTTGATAGATACAACATTGGATTGTGCTTTGAGAAAAATATGTCAAAGATCTCAAATTGGAGGAGTACGTTTTTCTATTTCATATGCATGTTTAGTATATAGGATGTGATTTTGGCAAATTACCTACTTTTGTTCTTGTTCATGAATTTTGCAACATAATTACGGGCAGGTACACCCTGCCTAAAATACAGCTTCATTTATAATTTGGATTAAAATCTGAAAAAGAATTAATTCTGCAATTATATAATTTAAAATGCCTTGCCTCTTGGTTTCTTGAAGACCCATTTTATCTTTTAGGGAAATCAGAAAAGTAGGGAAACCAGCAAGTTAGATGTAGTTACTCCGATGC